GAAACTCCTAATGAGATTAGGAGCTGCTTCCTTTAAGGCTATAAAAGGAAGAGGAGGGCGAACCTCCATTCACTCAATCTTTTCTCAGATACAAGAGAGAAAGAAAGCAACAATAAGACTGCGCCATCTTCTGTTCTTGTCTTCTCCTGCTGCCGCCATTGCCAGTTCGTTCTCCACCTGTAGGAGCGATCAAGAAAAGTTCTTGATATCAGTTTTTGGTGAAAAACTTATTTGAATTCGTGCTCACATACCCTCCATCGAATTCTTGCTGAAGGATTTGGTTCTTGTGAAGAACCACCTGCTGATTCTACTCCACCCTACACTGTGTCATCTTTAGTGGGAGCAGTCTTTGGAGATCTCCTTGGGCGTGAACACCTTCATTGGGAGTTATTATTTCTCCGTATCAGGTATCTCCCTCTCCTACCTTTTGGTTTCAGATCTAGTTCGGTTCTTGGTTCAAGATTGATCCTTGAAAAATGCAGTTTTTCTAAAACTGGGAATATGATTCCCACATGGGAGAGAGAAATTTTTGAAATTTCGCCCTACCTTCCTGCAAGGTTCGGCTATTCATATGATGGATCTCATCCCTTCAAACTGTTCACCACTTTTAGCAACAACACTACTATTGCCATTTACTGTCAGCACTAGAAACCCTCACAACACACCTCACGAATAATATTTTCAGTTCTGCAACATATAAAAGAAATTTGCTACATACCACAACTTAGTTCGAAGATCATGTACTTGTCGAGTAGAGGGTACCAAGTCTGCACTATCACCATCACAAAACCAGCTCTCTTCAAATTGTGAGTAGAGGGTTTTCTACCAACCACACAAAACCACAACGGTTGCACTCATTGGAGGCATGGAAACCCCCAAAAGAAGAAAACGACCAAACATTTTCTTTCTTTCTGGAAAACTCTCTAAATATCAATGAAAACTTTGCAAAACCTTAGAGAGGAATGCGCAAAACAGTGAGAAAAGGAGACAACTGATCTGAACTGATTATCGTGGCTCTGATACCATGATAACACTCAGATTAGATGTTCGTATATGTTCAGACCAAAAGAAAGAGAAGGAAAAGAGAGAGAGAAGGAGAATAAGAAAGAGAAGAAAAAGAAGGAGAAAAGTCACAGCCGAACTAGAGAGAAAAAWYMAAAWCCCTCTAGTCGGCCCTTCTTTTATTTATACTCTTCTAAGATATACAAGGATTACCATTGTGCCCTCACTTAAGTGAGAGCCACATTAGCTGAGCAGTACATATATAACTAAACATAAAAGGATTGTATTACCCTTGTACAACCGACTCTAACAGTGTACGTAGATGATATCATCATTATAGGAAATTGGAGAACAGAAATACAAAAGCTGAAGGAATTCCTAGTCTCTCAATTTGAAGCGAAAGATCTGGGCCCCCTAAAGTACTTTCTTGGAATTGAAGTTGCCCGCTCAAAAAAGGGCATCTTCATCTCTCAGAGGAAGTATATCCTAGATCTATTACAGGATACAGGCAAGTTAGGTGCAAAACCAGCTGATACCCCTATGGATGTTGACCATGACTCGCCCTGACATTTCTTACTCAGTCGGGGTCCTAAGCCAATTCATGCATTCTCCTAAAAGACAACACATGCAGGCAGCAGAGAGGATTCTTAGGTACTTGAAGAAGTATCCAGGAACAGGGTTACTATTCAACAAAAGTGGGTATTGTACCTTTGTAGGGGGAAATCTAGTGACATGGAGAAGTAAGAAGCAAAGTGTAGTGGCAAGATCAAGTGCTGAAGCAAAGTATGGAGCAATGGCACATGGGGTGGCTGAAGTTCCTTGGCTGAAGAACCTTTTAGGAGAACTTGGGGTTACTGTCCACAATCCTATGTTCCTTTATAGTGACAATAAGGCAGTCATTAACATTGCTAGTAATCCAGTCCTACAAGATAGGACTAAACACGTTGAGGTGGACAAGCATTTCATAAGAGAAAAGTTGGAAAAGGGAGAAATTTGCACCCCTTATGTCAAATCCAAGGAGCAACTTGCTGATGTTCTCACAAAAGGACTTCCACACTTGCGGCACAATGAACTGTGTAACAAGTTGGGTATGATAGATATATTCAACCCAACTTGATGGGGAGTGTTGTTAGATTTAAATAGTTTTTTCTTTATTTATGCTGTTACAATGCTGCCAGCTTAGACTGCTATCATCATGTTCTTTTCTTTTGTATTAGGGTGAGCCCCAGGGGCCTAATTGCAATTTCTTATATTTGTTATAAGTTATAACACATTTTAAATAAAAGATGAGCTGTAGCCACCAGCTCTAAGATTTCAACTCCCACATCTTTTCTCTTATTCTCCTCTCCTCTCTTCTCTCTCTTCTCTCTTCCTCCTGTTTTCTTGTACGTTTACAAGGACATCAAAAAAGGAGGAACAAGTGAACACACCAGATGGGGAAGGTTTCCAAATTCTACTGTCCAAACAAGATTGATCCAAGTAGGTTGACCCTAGAAGGTTAATTAATTCATTCACCATTGTCATTTCCAACTCCCTTAGACCTCTCCTCAAACCCAAGTCCCAAGAGTTATCAGTAAAAACTGAAGAAATCACTTTTCACCAAGTGATTCTGCACCCCACCCTTCCCACAGAAAATCCCTCTGAAATTTTTTCAATTCTTTCAGCCACTTGAGAAGGAATCCTAAGTAAAGATAAGTAATATGATGGTAAGCTTGATAATACACTTTTAAACCAAATCTCCATAATGCATTCTCCTTTTTTAAACCAAATCTCCATAACCACTTCCCTATCAAAGCCTTGTTGAAATCCTTCACTCTCTTGAAACCCAGCCCACCCTTGTCCTTTGGTTTACAAACTCTCCCCCAATTCACCAAGTGAAACTTCTGCACCCCACCCTTCCCACAGAAAATCCCTCTGAATTTTTTCAATTCTTTCAGCCACTTGAGAAGGAATCCCAAGTAAAGATAAGTAATATGTTGGTAAGCTTGATAATACACTTTTAATCAAAGTTATCCTGCCTCCCAAAGATAAGCATTTTGCTTTCTATCCATCCAGTCTCCTTTCCACCTTCTCCACAATTGGCTCCATAAAACTTCTGAAGCTGAAAGCCTGAAACACCCCCAACCGGCATCCCTAGATAAGTGAAAGGCAATTCCCCAATTCTGCACTCAAAGGCCTCAGCGCACTCCAGTAATAACTCCCTGTCCACCTCCCCTACTCCAATTATCACACTCTTTGAGAGATTAACTTTCAGCCCTGTCATCAACTCAAAATTCAACAAGACAGCTCTTAGATTTAAAATCTGCTCGACTGATGCATCCAAAAAAATTCAGATGTTGTTATTAGGTGGATGCAGCAGTTACCCATGGCCCCAGACTCCATGCCATATTATTATTAGGGAGGTCAAATCTTTTGGCATCCAGAGTGAACATCTACCTTATATATACAGGACTGACTACATCTCTAGCTGATTTCTTATCAAGGATGCAGTCGGGAGGGGAAAGTTATATCATGGATCAGCTATTCCAAGTCTTGTACTTCTCTGATTTGACCTATTGTTTATCAATTTGCCTCTTTGGATGGGGGTTATGATAGTGCCTTCATCTCTACTACTTCAATAAATCTTTTATGTTACTGATACAAACAAAATGATATCTGTCTAGTGTCTACCTAAGATGTAGTAAATTCCAGAAGAAAGCTCGTTTTCCTACAAAAAAGACTCTAGAAGAAAAATCATGTAATGAGAATCTAGGGAGAAATCCGAAAACACAGGGCCTAAAATTGTTTTAGGGGGGCTTACAAGCTCAGTTGCCTCCTAGGGCAAGGTCTAGTATAACATGGAGATGAGATAGAACCCTGATATATTTTTTTTATGCTTTTTTTTTATTTTCATTATATTATGCTTGCATGTTTGAATTTCTCCCAACATTTCATTTGGAATTTCTCTCAGTATTTATATTTTATATTCAATAAATAGACATTTGACCAAAAGAACGCAATCATGGTTTATAAGATCTTTTCTTTGTGTTTCCAATAAATATGGACTGGTCTGAATTGAGGAATGAGCAAAATAATGGAATAACCAATCAAAATGATTCTTCTGGAGCAGAGCATATAGAAGAAACATTTAAAGATATCAAAGCAAATGGCATGAGAAACCTAAAGACTCAAGATAGCATTGAAGCAAGGATGGAAAGAGGTGCCATAGACAATAGAACAAGCAAGGAAGTATTATACTACTTTCTATAGACATTTTACAACATAGGCTTCCACCACAGACATACTTGGATTTTTTTGGGTCTTGCACACTATTTTATAGAAACTTTTATTTTCTTTTTCATATGCATTTCTCTCTTATAACCTGTGGAGTTTCTGTTCAAACACAAGGTGTTTCCTAACACTTCATCCAATTGATATATCTTCTTATTTCCTCATCTTTTATTTTTTACTTGAAAATAAAAATAAAGAAATAAGTTCTTCAGCAGAAACACAAAATCCAAAGGACTGCTGCTTCTTTCTCCATATGCATTCTCCATAGCAAAAGTATAAAATATTATGTGAACAACAACCTAAAATGTTAAAAATGAACAAATAAAGTAGCAATGGCAAAATCAAAATAGACGTCTGTCAAATAAACAAACAAATCAAAGTATTATAATGTGACAACACCCTGAGCATTTGTCATGTTGCCTATGTTCACCTCTGTTCATTCCCCTAAAATACTTATCAATAGCTGTTGTGCATGGTAAGACAAAATCAGATCTCCATTTTTTTGAGCAAAATATCGTAAGTATTATTTTACAGTTTCTAAAGCATATAAAGAGGAAAGGCCTAAGAATTAACATATAAAGTATGCAGTACTGCCATTGAAGCAAACATCAAGAGTACCGACAAATAAATGACAACCATATTAAATAAGGTAGCCTACCTCATACATCACATAATTTAGAACCATACAGTAAGCTCCAAGAAGAGTACGATACTTTCCCACAGTTTACCTTTGCTATCATAGGGTCCTTTATTTTAGCAACAGTTGAGAAATTGACATGCTCAGCATCCCTAAAGAATATGTTTATACATACACGAGAGAACCTAATTAAGCTTGTCAATCACATATGATAAGCTACTGGAAAGAAACAAACAAAAAAAATCTTACATTGGTTCTGGAAGCTCATCCTTCATCAGCAAGCCATCCTTGACTAACTCTTCAAGAGAAATCAGAAGGGTGTTACCACAATTTGCATCCTACAGGTAATCATCGAAAACTCTAAATTCCGTGTTTTACATGATTAATAGTTGGACATTTTCTAAAAGAGTTTCCTACATGCTACACATGACTACATGAGACACATACATAAAGGTTGAGACTGATCACTGGACAGGTCCAACCAATAAGACTCGGTACATTAAATTCCTTGTTTTACATGATTAATAGTTGGACATTTTCCAAAACAGTTTTCCTACATGCTACACATGACTACATGAGACACATACGTAAAGGTTGAGACTGATCATTGGACAGGTCCAACCAATAAGATTTGGTACACTAAATTCCTTGTTTTACATGATTAATAGTTGGACATTTTCCAAAACAGTTTTTCTACATGCAACATGTGACTACATGAGACACATACATAAAGGTTGAGAGTGATCATTGGACAGATCGAACAAATAAGGTTTGGTACACGATAATCAAACAATTTGGGAGAAACTAGCCACCCAATCCACACACTCTTTTTGAACCAATCACCAACTTGTTTTCTCTTTCCAAAATGTCAAAGAGTATGGAGTTCATCAAATGATTAGCACCGTCAGGTAAACTTTTTTTTCCAAGAGATCTCCCAGATAGCACTTATCTGATGGTATGTTTCAAGCCCTCATCATCCAATATGGATACAATATAAAAATAATATTAACTATAAAATTACAAATGAGCTATTTCCATGATCATTTCTTCCTTTATCTTCATTGAGGTTTTACATTTTCAGTGGGCAGCCAACCATGCAGTTTACTTTCTTGCATCCTATTTTGCTCCTGACAAGCTTCCAAAACTTAGCATCAAAACATCCATCTAGCTAGGTACCCCTAGAACAGTAGTAGTATCAGTAGTAGCTATAACAAGTGTAGATGTATAAATAAAAGAATAGATATACAGGGAGTCAGGGAGTATAAAAACAAGAGCAAAGAAATGAGAAAATACCACCCTATAAAACACAATTCAAAAAAAAATACCAGCCACAATTTACGGGCAACTAACAAAAAGAAATGAGAAAATACCACCCAAACCGCCTGGAACCCCCTAAGCCTCTCAAAACAATAAGAAAAGAAATCAAGCAAGCAGAACAAGCATGAGATACCTACATGAAAAAATGAATATTAATTCATCACAAGCTACTCCAACCACCAAAAACAAAGGAAAACCCATAAAACAACCCAAATGCAAATTTACAGGAGCCCTGGAACGTAACACTTAACAATCCCTTGGCTGTTAAGTGATCATAGCTCCTTAATCCTTATCAGCCCATTCCATTCATTTGGAGTCTGAACTCAATCCCTTTTTCCCTGCCCCTCCCTTTGACTTTTCGTTTTAATAAATCACAGTTTCCATAAAAGCGCATGTCCTTACCGCCCATTCCCCATGAATGATCACCACTCTTCCACCAATTGACCATAATAATAATTGTTTGTCTAAGAAAAACATTCCAAGTGCAATGATGCTTAAATTCTAGTTAAACAGTCTACTTATGACTCTAAATTTCACCTGCCCAGCGTAGGGTGATCCTTCTTCATTAGCCTTCCTTCCTGGTGGGACAAGTGGGAGGACCTGCAGATATGCAGCCACTCTGAATTAAATATCGGGGAAAAAACAAGCTCTGAAAAGGAATTATAAGCAAACAAAAACCAAAATTGACTCAAAAGTATATGAAGACTATTTCAGTATGCAATTCGCTATTAATTTGCACAATTTAAATAAATTAAGTTTTAACTCTAGTTTCCTATGAATGAAGTAAGACATCCTTGCTAGTCATGAAGGACAGGAAAAAACAATAGCATTAAAATTAAAAGCAGAAAAGAGAAAAAGATAAAGCATTACAAAATTCAAAATTGATTAACTGAAAGTAGAAGCAAAGACCTGCCAAATGGTGCAACCAGCTTCGTGAAGCCAATCCAAGAAGCGAAAGATCTCTTCACCGAGATCTCCGATGCCGTATGGTCCTGGCAACGATGTCGGATGAAGCAGCACACCGGCTCTCCTCTGATCTTTCGGGTCCGCCTTCGGAAACCATTCTCCATAGTCTTCTGGCAAATCGTCTCCAACTCCAACGAGATCTGCAGTAACATCGTCGTTCGAAAATCTTCGCTCGGACATTCTCCTCTCGGTTTGGGATTTCAAACCAGTTAGAGAGCCAGCAATGTAACTTACGGTGCTGGCGGTAGATGAAACAGATGAAAGGTTACAAACTTTGTGAGGGACAAGCTGAATTGAGGAGAACCTAGACGAAGGAAGAAGAGAAAGAGAGCTGCAGATAGCCATTAAAGGAAAGTAGAAAAATAGCTCCAACACTCAAAAGAACTTAAAAAAGGAGTAAGGAAGAGCTAGATAAGAGTTGCAGCATTGCATTTGAATCCGCCATCATCGAGAGCTGTCGAGAGCAGGAAAAGCAAGTCGTAAAGAGAGAGAGAGATCGAGTGGGACCCTCCCGAAGAGAGTCGTGAGACACGGACGGTCATTAAGAATCGATGTATCAAATATCGATATCAGGAAATCAACCTGCATCAATTCTTTTTGTCCTTATGTCCAACCTCTTGTACTCTTCCCTCTTAATCAGCTATTAATGTTCAGTGAATGAACACGTATACTCGTAATAAAGTACATTTGTCCACTTTCCTCCAACTTCCTTCTGCTTCTGTTTTGTCATGGGCAAGGCTGGGCCGAGTTTGAAATATCTGGCCCAAAACCCAGAATTTTTGGGTAGCCCGGGCTGAAAATGATAACCCTTTTTTTATAATAAAAATAAGGGTAGCACGTCCCCACAAATCACTATAACAAATGGTGAGCCACCCAATCCACAGCTTGATTTGCTTCTCAATAAATAATGCTTGTAGATGATTCTTTTCCCGCTCCTCTCTTTGAGCTCGCAATAATCTTGAATGATACTCTTTACGTTCCAAAAAATCACTCTCAACAGTCTTGAAAATGATAACCATTAAGACTAACAATTAACCATTATAAAAAAAATAAATAAACAAAAAATAAAACTACAATTAATTCATTGTCAGTTAGGGGTGCTAATGGTTCGATTATCCAAATCGTGGGCTTATTTTTGAAATTGACCAGGACTGGAAAGACTGGAAAGACCAATTAAGTAGGCTCTCTAGGTCCATTTAAGTAGGCAGTTTGTCTGTCCATTTAACCAGGACTGGAAAGACCACAGTTCTTGATTTTCATGGTTCAACTTCAACCATTTGACATGAGTCGAATCTTAAAATATTGTCTTTAACATGTCAAGTTACCAAAGAAAAAAAAAAAGGATTCGGTTAACAGTTCATCAACCTGTACGATTGAGCTATCTATCCCATTTAACGAGTTTTCAGATTGTTAGCCAATGTTTTAAAAAAAAATGTCCCAAAACCGGAATCATTCTCGCCACTAGTTTCTAGGATGATGGTTCAACCATTTGGTTGAAACGGATGGCATATTCTGACAAAAAAATAAAAAATAAATAATTAAAATAAAAAATGGTCAAAACTGTTGAATGGGTCAAAATTTTTGACCACTCGGGTAAACATGTCATTGACCAATTCAATTATTTTTGGCCAAGGACCAGGTTTGGGGTAAAATAGAACCAGTTGCTTGGATAGTTCCCAAGCCGAATAGTCCAACAGTTTGGGTTAATGGCAGTTCGAAAACCATGTTGTTAGCACCATGACCATTTAATAACCATCTTTGATGCCCAAAGGTCTTGGTGAGTTAGGGGTGTTTTTATTTTATTTTATTTTTTTATTAGCTCGGTCTAGCATAAAAATTCTAGTCGGGCCTAGGTTTGTATTTTAGGCCTGGCTTGGATCAGATCACAAATTTTCAGGCCAGACTTGGGCCAAATACTTTAATTCTAGCCTGGCCCATGATCACTCGTAGGGTGAGGGCACTGAGGGTAGAGGTGTAAATCGGATGGCACACGGGCCATGCCAGGCCCTACACAATGGTCCGCGCCATATTGGGCCTAGGGTTTTAGGTCCGCGGGCTGGGTTGGCACAGCACCACCAAGTGGGTCGTGTCGCTCGCGGCCCGTGTGCCAGCATGACCCATATATACTATTTATATTATATATATATATATATTTATATATAATATTATTATAATTATATAAATTATAATTATATGATAATATATAGTATATAATATATTAATAAAATAAATAATTGTTTTCAATTTTATTATACTAATTTATTTAATTATTGTATATATAAGCAATTGTGTACATCAAAATTCATATAAAATTAAAATTTTAAGCTTTTTTTTAATTTTTAAATAAATAGACAAAAATAAATTTGACCCGGTCCATGGCCCGGCTTGGGCCAAGGCTTGGCCCACAGGCCAGCCCGACCCACGACACAACACAACACGCACAGGCTTAGGCCATGGACTATGCCAGGCCGACCCCCAAACTTTTCATTGGGGAGGGCAACACAGCCTGTGACAGCCAACACGACATGATCCACACTTTATACGAGCCGCCTGCAAGCCATGCCACACTGACCTGGCACGGCCCACTTTACACCTCTAAGTGAGGACTGGACCCATGTGAAGAACATTCACACATGAATGTATTCGAATGGTTATATGGTCTGATCATCAAAATCGTGAATTAAAAGCTACAACGATTTTAAGGCTGTCCATTTGGTTAAACTTCCCTGAAATACATGTATATTTGCTATGACCCATGGTATTAAGTATATTTTGCTTAATTTTTTATTTATGTTAAAGGTCAACTAAGATGATCTGATTATTTGACCTGTGATTTTTTGTCCAGTGCAAAAGTTGCAGTGTATTGTGGGTAACAAACGTAGACTCACCAAACATAAAATGCATTTATATGGAAAAACATGTAAATTTGGCTTTGGCCAAAATATCTATCACTTCCATCAACATTTTCCATTCGGTATGCTCATAATCCTTTTATTTTTTTTTAATATTTTCCTAAATATTAATGTATGGATAATTTTGGTAGAAGTATTGGAGTATTTTTTTTTGTCCAAAGTTCTATGGTAAATTCCACATATAGGTATTTCAAAACCCCTCAAAATGGAAAGTTTTACAAGAAATGTGAACAATTTTCAGGGGGCATTGTAGACTATGTCCTTATCACATTTTCAGGGGGCATTGGGAGAAGTTAGGTATGGTTTATTCTCAATGCATGCATCGATGCAAAAGAATGAGAGTGCAAATGACTTGAATGTAAACTTCTGATCTGATTTATTTTAATCAGTTATTGCCTTGACCCAAACATAATGTAAATAATGCAAACCGTAGAGGTAAAAAAGGAATTTTAATTTTCCTTCTTTTTCTTTTTTACTTTACTTTCTTTTCATGGTCAGCCAAGATATCTTCCAATTTTGATTATTTGGAGTTCAAATCATCTGCGGTTCTACTTGTAATATACCAATCTTTTTAGTGAAGATAGTCTTATTGAAGTCAGGTATCCTCCTTATACGATAGCAGGTAGGGATAGACATACCTTGCACCTGATACAAGTAATAGACATAAAAAATAGAGAACCACTTTACGTTTTATGGGTGGATCCCACGCAAGTTAAGTATCCTGTTATAGTAATAGATAGATTATAGAACGCATTAATAGAACTGTTCACTGACCCGGATGGTCAGAGTATTTGGCCCGGAAATTGTTCACGCAATTGGTTCTGTTTCACCCATAATCTGGTCTTTGGCTAAAAATTATTGATTTGGTCAACGGTCAATATGATTTAAGCGATTGAACCATTGACCAATTTGATCCATTTAACGGTTTTTTACTGTTTTTATTTTTTAAGTTAGAATGAGCCAGGCATTCAAGCGGTCAACCAAAAAATCGATGGCCAGAACTGTTTTAGTTCTGGGTCGATTTTTAAAACCTTGAAATGGGCCATCAGTCTAAGATACAGGTATAGACGATGCCCAAGAATCTGTTTGATTACAACTGTAGTGGCTGAATTAAATAGCTTATTATTTTGTTTTTTATAAATAAGTTTTTAAGGAGGTTACATATAGACAGATTACTTTGCCCTTGAATTTTATGGTGGCTTAGTTGGTAGTAGGGGTGTCCATAAAAAACAGAAAAACTGGATCGAGAAAACTGAATCGGAAAATGTGGTTAACCGAATCGTTTAGTTTGGTTTTGGTTCGGTATTTTTAAAAAACCGAAGGACCTGTTTGGTTTTCGGTTAACCTAGAAAAAAGTAGCAATTAACTGAATCAACCGATATATATATATATATTTATTTTATGTTAATTATATATATTTTTAATATATGTCACATATATTATATATAAATATATATTCATTATATATTTACAATGATCTATTTATAATATTTATAATATAATATTATACATATATATTTATACATCATTTATTATTTATAATATATTATTACACACATACACACACACACACATATATATATATATATATTTATTTTTTTATATAATATATATTATAAATATAAAAGGCCGAAAAACAAAAGAATCGAACTAGTCAAAAACCAAAACTGATAAATCAATTAATCAGTGGTATCGGTTCAGTTTCGGTTTATAGAAATAGAAAAACCGATAAAACTGGTTCAGAGAAATAGAAAAACCAATAAGACCGATTTGATTTGATTTGAAAAAAAAAATACCTATGGTTTGATTAACCGAACTATGGACACCCCTACTTGGTAAAAACTCTGATTCGTCTAGTGGAGACATAGGATCAAATCCTATCGGCTATCGCCACTAGGGTTGGGGGGTAAGGGGATGGGGATGGGGATGGATAGTTGGACCATTTAGCCAAGATATTGACCAGCAATAAGTTCCATTCCACCCCTAAATCGTTAGTTTACTAAAAACCGTTCTTGATTAGTGTCCCACTGTCCTAAGTAATCAAACTGTTGATCTGTTCGATCCTGATTATAATTTTTGGCCATTTTTATTTTTTATTTTTTATTTTTTGTTTTAAATTTTATCAGGCTGATCTATTTGAACCAGATGGTCGAACCACTGACCTGGAATCTGATTGCCAAAATGGTTCCAGTTTTGGGTCTTAAAACATTAATATGGCTCTTTGAAAAATATATTTTATATTCATCCACTAAGGCCAAGTTTCGAATCAGTGTAAAACGTCACCGGTTGATGCAAATGCAAAATATCATATTTTTCTTCCTTAATGTTTAGTCTTTTATACTTATTTAGTGCCTAAATGGACTCATTATTCTTATATTTTGATTTAGGGCACAAATGGAGGCGTTAAGTGAAAAACAAAGCTAATCCGGTAATTCTGGACAGTTTCAGCACCGCGTCGTAATTTGGGTATAATTATCCCATCCGAACTCCGATTGAAATGATTCAAGATGCGTTGGAACGATAAGGAAAAACTTTACAACTTTCATGTTTTGAGTTTTGATAGATACTAATTACATCGAAGTCGAAATCGGGTCCGAAGTAGCTGCAACCGCAC